CTCTGCCAAGAAGCTGTGCAGGATGCCAGAGTGAATGCCCAGATTAATGGTTGGTTAACCTAAAATGCCAAGATCTATCTTTGTTAAGAACTGTAGTAGTTGTATACCTAGGTCCTCTTTATATTGTCCAAGATGCTTGGAATCACCAATTGTTGGTAGTAATCTTGTTCATTTTAACCATTTCATCTCTCTTGAAAACAGAGAGTCAGTCAATCTCTGTGATCTATTTTCCTGTTGACTAACAGCTTACATGATATATGTGTGTATATACATGTGTGTGTATATATCCCCCTCCCACCCCAGTAACTAGAACATTTCGATGTAAATGTCAAACCAAGCAACAGTTACCCTTAAAAACAAAACATTAATGGTAGCCATTTTTTGTGTATAGATACTGGAAAATGCTCAGGTTACTGCAGTTTAAGTGATCTGAGCACCAGTGATTGTTTAAATTACACTGTTTTTTACAGTGGACTAGACAATGTGTAACTTCTAAAGCATTAGACATTAATATCGAACTTGTGTGTACTGTCTGAAAAATGCTTTGACTAGAAGTATTCTGATTTTTTTTTTTTTTTTTTTAGAACTGAACAACATTGAATTTTATTGTGGGAAGGCTGAAGATGTTGTTCCTTCGTTAATTAATGTGTTAGCTCCCCAGAACCTAGTTACTATTGTAGATCCGCCACGAGCAGGACTGCGTAAGTTTACTTTCTTGAAGTGTTAAGTCCATTCTCTTAATTGTTACTTAGTTCTGTAACACTTAAGAAAACATCAATGGAATAAATTGAGTAGGAGACTTCCAAGTATCACTTGAAGCAGGTGGATATCACAGCAGTTTGTTCATTCATGTGGAAATTTAACTTGGGAATTTTTCTGCAAATCCACTGATGCATGCAGAACTAGCAAACGTCTCTCTCGGTTTTGGTCATCTAGATTCTAAGGTAATTCTTGCAATTAGAAGAGCCGAACATCTGAAGAAGCTCATCTATGTATCCTGCAATCCCAGAGCTGCAATGAATAACTTTGTGGAGTGAGTATTTCTTGTATTAAATCAGCTAAGTAAATGCCTAAGAAGAAGAATGTGCTCCGGTGGGGGCACAGAGAACTAGGGTTGGTGCTTTTTTTTTTTTTTTTTTAAAAAAAAAAAGCCAAATTTGAGTTTTACCTTTCACCATATACAGTTGACTGCTGCTACACAGCAAGCCTAGAACTATATTGTCCAAAACCAAATAGTAATGGTGGGAAACAATAGGGATGGTAAATAATCGTATCATGGAATAAAGCTTGGGAATCAAAAAACTTTCTTGGAAGATGAGTAGTGATGAACAGTACATGAAAACATTAATATACTATACTTTTTCTTTCCCACTCCTCTACTTTCCCTTTCCTGTCAAGTCTTTGCCGGGCACCATCCAATCGAGTCAAAGGAGCCTCTTTCCGTCCAGTTAAAGCAATGGCTGTGGATCTCTTCCCTCAAACCAGGCACTGTGAATTACTGATATTCTTTGAACGGGCTGAATATGCAAATGGAAGCTCTGCTGAAGCAATACTTGATGCTACTCAAGTCACAGTAGCAGGATGTGACTCAGAATGCTTGGATAGTACCAATCCATCTCACAATGATGCAAGCCAGGCAACTGTGGTAGATATAGATACTGCATTCAAAGACAGTGAATTAAGTTAACTCCTGTGAGATGCTTTCCGGAAAGCTAGTTTTGCTTGTTAACTGCTTCAGTAACATTGTTTCTCTAACATCATGGTAATAAATCTCTCTCTAACACAGCAGTTGTAAGCTTTCCAAGTTATTTTATTGTAATACTAATTAGAATTAAATTTTATTATGTATTATGAGGCCAAATCCTGATTTCTTTTTTTTCCTTCCATCCTTAAGGGAAACTTAGGTACATGAAATAATATATATGGTGGCTGTAACACTCTAACAATTGAAACACAGTTTGAATTAAGATATTCCACAAATATATTCAGATATAACTCCTTGAGAAAGCTGAGCTGAATTTTAATGCAACATAGTCTATTCCAGTTTGAGTATAATAGATTATACTTTAAGCAAATACTAGTGAATAGCTGCTATTTATCAAGAACTAAGCAATTCAATAGAGAGGAGGACATTGTAGGCTGTCTTAAAGCAGCATCTATTTCCCAAAGCAAGTAGTCTTGTTACAGGGACCTATAATTGTCAGTACTAACTTCCTTCAGCTCTACTAGATTGCTAAATCTGTGTGGGCTTATTCAAAAGACATTTGCAATGTTTTGACAATCTTAAGCCTTCAGGAAATCTTTCCCTTGCTAGATGTTCACTATGAAGTAACAGGGTCCCCTTTCATACTCTTAATAAAAATGCTATGTTTTCCATAGTTGAAATTGGTTTCAGTCAGAGACTACTCTCTTACTGTACTGTCACTGACAATACAGTAAAGGCTTTCTTAGATCATTTCCCGTGATGTACAAGTTGAGATGACTTCAGTCCAGACACACTCTCACCTATTAAAGCCAGAATACATGCTAGACAGGGACCATCAATCTTGACAGGAACTGCTAAGAAAGCTTAGGTGCTCCGTTCCTTTCAGGAATTCAATGATCTCAGGGATCATTTTCCTCTCAGGCTGTCGGTAAGTCTCAGTGGAGACTTTTAATCAAATAACTCATATTTCACAATGATCTCTTGGAAGTTCTGTTCAGGCTTTTTGATCCTGTAGTCGCTGTAAAAAGATTACTCCAGCCTCATAGTGCATGTGTGGAAGAGTGATGTCTAATTCAGTGATGACTGAAGAATGAGCAAGCAGCTTGAAAATAACAGGAATATTACCTCGTCGCATTCTGTTGTTGAGAGGTTGGAACTAGAGTACTTCTGAACTCGGTGCTTCTGTCTCCCAATTCTCTTCCCTAGACTCAAAAGATCTTATCTCAGATATGTTCCCAACTGTTTTACCCACAGGCCTGTGCAGTAAGAGGAAAAGGCAGCTGTATTTAATGCAAAATTTTAACAGAATAAGCATCTACTGAAGACACCTAGGTCATAAGCAGGAGTGCCATTAATGAGCAGTACTTAGTACCAGGCCCAGCACCATATATTGCAGCTTCTCATGGTACACAGCAGGTGAGAAAATGCACCTGTTTGAGAATCCTGTAATTGCACAAGAGTTGTTCATCACTCAGGATTTAATACTTACGTACAAGATGTTCAGCACCCTGTATTAATTTAAGAGATCATGATGCACACTGCAGAATAGACAACAGCACTATTAAAAGGAATTATCATTTTAAAATTCAAGTTATTGAACATACTTCTTATGTGCATTTAACACAGGCTGAACAAAAATACTGTTAGTACAGAGCAGGGACTCACTAATACCCCTTCCTTTCTGGTTAGGCCTGTGACACTAGCTATCAAAAACAGCAGCTTTAGATTGTGTTGTTTCCAACAGTGATGATACTTCTTAAGTAAAAATACAAATTCTGATTCAAGAAAAAGCTTTGACTCAATTTCATTCCAAGCGATCTTTAACCAGGTAAACATTCAATTTCTTACAAAAAAAAAAAAAGATAAATAGTAAGTACTTCCCTAACCAATGAACCAGTGCTGATTTAATTTCTATTTAGAAATACTTAAAGGAATGAATGAAAAAAAGTTCCTTTTCTAAATATGCTTACGTTACCACAATACTGATCAGACCGCAGCATTTTTATAGTATCAAACTTTATTGCTCAAAACTAATTGTCTGAAAAATACACATGTAGTACTCAAAGACCAAACACATAGGCTTATATGATTGTGCAGAAAAAAAAGCAAGCAGAGGCTCAGTGAAAATGAGGCTTTATAGTTGTACTAATTTAGCACTGGCATCAAGCAGCTGCACCCAATACAATTCATATAGCAACCATTGTTATCTACTTGGGCAGTAAGAATGGATTTTGTTTTTCACTTTCCCTTCTCAGATATACCTCAGAATACTGTAACTGATCATTTTATTTGGTTAAGAACAGCAGGCTTCTTGCACTTCACATAACTTCCCACAGGAAGTGAGGAGGCTATTACTTTCTGAATTTCACTCCAGAATCAAAGTACAGTCTAGAGAATTAATAGGATGTCATGAGGCTTTTAAATACTTGATGTTACAAATATGTATGTTTGTATAAAGCCTAACAGCATCACAGGAAAGTGGAAGTTTACATACAACAGGTAAGTTTATGCATAATAGTCTTTCCAAGCATCTGAGTACCCAGCTATTTCATCAGTTTTGTTTAATAAATATGTAGGAAAAAGCTGAACGTCTGGTGTTTAAATAGGTAGCATCTGACTATTCACTGGAAGTCACAGTAAGTTTTCCATCAGTACCATAAAGATTTGAATGCACACTAATTTAACCCTTAAAGTCAATATACCACACTTTTGTCGAGAAGCACATAATATGCAAAGCAAAAACTGTCTAACTCCCAAAGGATGGAACTGCTCTTAAACATACGCTCCATCCCTATAAAAATACCCATCGTTCTTGGGATACAGGAGGGATAAAAAAATATCAGTGACAAAAGCAGCAGTTGTTTTATGCATTCATACAATCAAGATCTAAACCTTTACAGCCAATTACCTAGAAAACACACAAGAGTTACAAGACAAGTTTAGGATACATCTTGAATCACACTGTAAGTGTCCATGCAGAAGCTGAAGTTAATGCAATGATCTATCCTCTATCACAGCAGCTCGTGCTTATGTGCAAATGCAAGACTTACACTCCAAACAATAGTAAACATTAAAACACAAGAATACTTCACAATGACAATAAACAGCAGTTGTTTGTTCCAGCAGTTATTGCGCTATTTTCTGGACATCTCTCCAGTTAAAGGCTGCAGCAAAGTCTAATACCATCCTTTTTCTTTTCCCTTCTTTTTTTTTTTCTTTCTTTCTTTTTTTTTTTTTTTAAGAATGCATAATATGTTCTAGGCTTTGGTTCACAATGAAATCTCTGGATGTTTTAATTAAGGGCAATGGTCACCTTCTTGTGATTCAGAGAGTGGTAGACTGAGGTAATACAGCAATCCTCTTAAAAATAATAAAAACAAATTTGTAAGTGAGGCATCTATGGATATTCTGCAGGTGACCTGCAAAAACATTGACATTCCGATTTCAGAAAAATAAAGATCTACAAGGGTGATTTGTCTTTTACAGTGCTATCCAAGTACAGATTTTTCTGCTGAAAACACATAAGCTGAAGTAAAACCTACCTAACACAGTTAATACATTTAGGCATAGAAGATATAAGCCCTGTCTTTATGAAAAAAAAAAATCAGAGACAAACAGCAATTACTGTTTGTCAGTACTGCACCAATATGATATACCTTTCAAAGATGGAGATTTATTAAAGCTATACTAAAAAAAGCAGAGGTAGTTTTTTTTGTTTTTTTTTTTTTTTAGATAGGCCACTTCTTTAAATAATAGTTTAGTCTTCCAACTACCCGTATCCTGTTCTAACAGGATTACAACTTGCAGAACTGAAAAGCTAAATATAATAATGAACAATGGGTGACTTCATCTTTGCAGAGACCTCTGAACATATCGCTCAAACACAGACACAGGCAAGACTAAGAATCTTTCAAACACTCCTATTTAACCTCAAACATTATAAGCAACATATTACAAAACATTAGCTTGGGATAAAAATTAAAAACCACAGATTTTCAAAATAACAGGGGTGATTTTAAAAAGGAGGTCTGACAATACTGATGCCAATATTGTTAAAACCCAGTAGGCACAATTCATTATACTGCAATACACTATATGTAACATGGTTTTAACAAAAAAAAAAAAAAAATCGCTGTCCAGATAAGTACCAGGAGCTGCAGCAATTATAAAGAACTGACCTCTCTCACTCTTACACGAGCGTAAAATATAGCAGTACAACTCACAACTCTTGGATAAAGCATTGAAGCTCTACAACCAACTTGGTCTTCACTTTCTTGTTTAAGAACAAACTAAAGAACCCACAAAAGATGGTTCTAAGAGAAGACTTACTGCAATCATCCAGTAAAGAACCTCAAATGAAGGAAAAAAAAAACCACACACAAAAAGCAGTGCTTTCACTACAGCCAAAACTATTTCTTCTGTGCTTAATTTATTAAAGCCTCATATGACATAGTACTGCCTGTTTTCTAAGATTGTATTTCATGATATTTGCATATTCATGATTTTCATGTTAGTCAGTACAAGTTGTTATGGTCTCATTCTACTCCTTACTCTATGTCGTATTCCAAATCTACATTCTAATTTTCATTGCAGAAGTTACACTTTTTCTTCAAAAACTAAAATGTAATAAAAAAGTAAAAACATTTTGTTTAAAAAAAGTAAAATTGCTGCAGTTATTTCAGATTCCTTAAAGTTCTTTTAAAATTCTTTGCTTTTATGGTGCAAATTAATTAAGACTTAATTCATCAAGTCAGATGTATTCTGACTCCAAAAAAAAAAAAGAGAAACTGTTTTATTGCTGGGGAGAGGAAGTGGAACGTCTTTAAACAACTCCTTGGCAAAATATTTTCAGACTGTCAACCATCTTCAGTTACATTTTGGCTCCAAGCTTTGAAAACAGCCTTTCAGTGGCAAACTTAATTACAGGTTTTATTCTAATCAAATAAATAGGGCCATATTTTCCCCTTTCAATTGATCTGTAAACTATCATAGGTTCTTTTCAATTAAAATAAAGCCCAACAATTTGGGATATCCAGCTTGTTGCTCTTAACACTACCAGGTACACTTGTTCTTTTCAAGTTTAGAAAAAAAAAGCCTCCCACCAACCAAACCTGCATACTGTGATCTTGAATAACTATACCTGGCAGGAGACAAAACAAACAAACAAAAAAGAAACAGCATTACTGGCCTAATCCTATGGCATTAGAACATTGCTCATCACTTTCATGTATTTGTCACCAAAGTGTCTTATCAGTGCATATTATTATGTGCTGAAATGCAACAAAGCTTTTCACAAAAATAGTTGTAGGCATGTTCATACAAGAAGGTGTATATATATTTCATATATATGTATACATATATATATATATAGTATCAGCTTCAACCTGTACATAGATATTCTGAATTTGATCCTTAAAACACATCCGTTTCAAACAGCATGGATGACTTTCAAGGAAAAAGTGCTTGCTTGAGTTTATCCTGTGTGAACATGCCTGTTCTCTGTGCATTTGCCCAAGTAGAGATCTTTATGATCAATCCTTTAAACATACATATCAGAGGTATTAAAAAAAGGGGGAGGGGAGGAGGAAAACAAGGGAAAAAAAGAATAAAGGAAAATGTAATATTGCCCTGATGATGCAAAAAGAACAATGCATAACTGAAGCAGCTTGGATTTTAAGTTATCTTGCATTCTGCAGCAAACAGATTTTTAAATAATTGTTGAAAATCTAGTTTCTCCATTTGTGTTATTGCTCCCCACTTGTAAGATTTCTCATTACACATCAACAGTACACAAAGGTTCACTACCAGGCTGGGCTGATTCTACTATTGTCATCTTGGGTTTCTTCCGTGTTTCCTCCTAAAAAAAAAACAAAACAAAAAACACATACACACACACAAAAAAACAAATCAATCAAAAACCACCACACAAAGAAAATACAATATTAAAATACAGTGTTAAAAAGTTTGCATAACTCTTGCCAAATTTATATCTTAGTCTTTGTCAAAGGTTAACTTGTTCTAATGTTAAAAATCAACTTACTGAAGTGGGTAAAATCAAGCAATGCGCCTCTTTAAAATAGAGGATGAAAACCTCCCTAAAAGCAATCTCCAAAAATGAAATTTTGAATGTTTGCTCTTTACATGAAATACTGTAGAAAACAACAAAAAATTCTAAGAACAATTGGCAAGTCTGGCATTTTTCTTGTATTTACAAAAAAAAAAAAAAAAAAGAGATGCACAGCAAATACTCACTCTTTCTTGTGCCAATTTTTTCATTTCTTCCTGTAACTTGTTCAGGATGTGCAGATTTGGCTTGTTCTTTTTGGCATACTGCTGAAGTTCTATCACACTTTTATCAGAGGTTTCCTATTCAACAGAATCATAAGCAATAACAGAAAAGCTATTTTAATAAAAAAAACCAAATACATGGAATAAAAGTTTAATCTGTGATGGCTGTATTTTCTTAAGTAACAACACATATTTAAATGAGATAGTCACATATTAAATAGGTTAATTTCAGTCTGCAAGATATAAGTGAGATTAACAGAATTATTGTCGTCAGTGAAAGCACTCATGTTTTTGGCAACAGCTAGGTAGGATAATCAATTCAAAAAAAAGCAGGACTGCTCAAACATAAATTGTGTTTATCATGACAGGGAACAACAGTATTATGCCAAGATAGATATCATTAAAGCTTTGTTTTACTTAAATAAAGAACAGAGCAAACGCCAAAAAACAATCACAAGTTACAATCCAAATTATGCTCACCTGTTTAACCATCTTGCTGCTCTCTCTACCATACATACGCAAAAGAGAGCCCCAATTTTTCACATGTGGATGCAGTAGCTGTAGGATTTTCTGAGAAGCTAATTGCTTCCCCACTCTTTTGTTTTTGCCTGTGAAAACAATCATGAAAATGTGTCACACCAGGAGCTTCCGCAGTTAGTTGAACACCATTATTTACTTGCATTATCAAAATTTAGATACCAGAAAACAGTAGAATAAGCATAAAACAACCTAGATAGCTGAACAAGTACCTGCAAAATGGGTAATAAAGGAAAACAGGAGAAAAAGGAATATATTATCAGAGGTCACACTAAAGTACTGTACTTACACCAGCCTCGCACTGTGTGTTTGCCACAAGTCATGACATATTCACTCTTCTGATTTTTACCAGGAATCACTTCAAACTTTATGGATGTGTCACCCATTCCATGGTTTCTTAAGTGCAAACAGAATCAGTATCATAAGGTAAGTAAAATTACAACTAACTGAAGTGGTTACAGCTGTTTTTAACAGTCATTGCAATGGAATTAGATACACTAAATTCAAATCCTAAGACATATTAATTAATTGAGTAATATATTAGACCAATAACTTGATTTTTGAATGGAAAGACAAGCCTGCATAAAGGAAAATTTCAGAAGACAAGAAGTATAAATAGCAAATACGACTGGTTACTGCTGTGTCTTCCTTGAGTTCAGGCCATACCATGCCTCTTGTAGTCACAGCCAGCACTGTAAGCTTGACCAGCCCCCAAGCATCCTCAAGTTACTGACATCATTGTGGGTACCAGCATCCAAGCAGATGAACAATGAACCCTGACCCAAACACCTATACAAAACAGGACTTGCTCCGTATTATGTAGCCTTACCTTTTAAGGCACTCATGGAGAATCTGATATGGAGACAAGAGTCCAGCTTTACTGGTCAGTTCATATACCCGTGAGTCCTCAATACTGATATGGTTAAAATACTACAAAGGAATTGAAGAAGGTTATTGAGCTTTTATGCAAAAAAGACACAATACTGCTCTTAACCCCTCATCTCTTATGTGTTACACTAAACAAATTCTGTTGCTCTGAGCTGAAAAGGTACTTTTAAATGCATAATGGAGGTCTTTACCACCATCATTAAAACTGCCATGCCTAATCTTATCTTAGCAGACAGACATCTAAATCACATTCTTCTCCCTTCAATTTTACATTATACAAGACAGGCACAGAAGTCAATCTTATAAACTCTTTATCATCTTTTTTCCCCTTAGGACAAAGTTGTTTGTTTTAACTGGCTATGAAATTCTACTGACCAAAATGCTGTGGTTTAATAAAACAAAACCTAACAGCTATTGGAAGGTTTTGTATTTTACTAAAAATCAAAAAAAAAAATTTATCATTTTCTTATTAACCACTTCAGTAAAACTTAGGGCATATAATACAGTTTTAAGTTGACCAAAAAAAAAAAAAGGAAGGAGAGAGCTCCTTTCGTATACTACATTTTTCAAAATGAAAGCAAAGGTTTATCACTGATCTTTCCTTTATCCCATCCTGATGATCTGTTACATGCTGAACTGAATGTGAATGTATCACTGATATAATAGCAATTTAATATTATGAATTCTTGAAAATGCACAACGCATTTGTTATTTCACCAAATTATTCCTTTGGATTTTCTGAAATTTCAGTCCTTAAAGTCTGAAGTTTCAGCTGTCTGATCTGACAGCAAATAGCTTTTACAGCTAAGTGAAAAAGTCTCAGAAGCTCAGGCACTTTTAGTTCTTACTTGATCTTCCAAAAAGATCACACAAAAACAGACAGCATCTAGCTCTCTGATCTTTTCAAGTTAGCAACCACAGAATTCTGGAAGCCACAGAAAGTTCAGGGCACTCAGTGTCTTGGAACGCTTCAAGTCTCCAGAAGGCAAGGCTTCTGCTGCATACTTCCAGAACAAGGAACTACCTCTCTGTTTCACAGCAAAGTTTCTCATCAGCTCCAACAGAAAAACTGTATTTTCATATCCTTAAGATTTTCACACTTCCTTCTGACTGAGCAAACCATGCTATGAATTTTCACTAATCTTTTGCATATTCAAAGTGTGATTTTTTAAAAAACAGAGTCTCCAATAATCATATTCATCAAGCAAGAGGTCAATACCTCAAGTTCTTCACTGTCTTTGGGCTTCTCCTCAGAGGTCTGTTTAACAAAGTCGGGAATAAGGATTTCCAGTGTAGCTCGAGCTGTGGAAAATGATTCAGTGTCTTAATTACCTTTATTTTAAACAATGATTCTAAACAAAAACAGCAGAATAGAAAGAGGCTTTAAGCAGCCTTACATTTCTCCTAGAAATCACTACCTCTCTTAAAGAACAACTTTACAGGTAACACACTTTTCCCCCCCACCCCCCGGTAAGAAGTATGTTTGCTTGCACTTAAAAAAAAAAAAAAAAACAAAAAAAACCCCCAAGTTGTTCAAGTTGATAATAAAGGGCTCACTACTATTAAATTGTACCTAAGAAACAACGACTTTTTGTAGATGCTCCAAAAAGGAAAAATATATCGACTCTCACTTGTAAAGTGATGTAGAGCCCTTAGGATATCTACATGAGGCCTAAAATTTAGAGAGTTGTTACTACTTTAACTGTCATAACATTTTTACAATGCAATTACATACAAAGCCCTAGTATTGTACACATTGCACACTCAGAATTTGCCTAAGTTATTGCAGCAAAATAACTTTTTTCATGCACAAAATTCTGTGCTAGGTTTTGATGGTTTAGCTATGCTGACAAATTTCACAAGTGCAGAGAATATCAGTGTTTGTTACATATCATCACATTTTGAGAAGTTACTTTTGTCCTGATCCCGAATGCCAAAGACATTCCAATCTAGAGATCAATAAGAATTTCTAAGGTATCAGAGTCTGACAATTTTTTTTTTTTCAAGAATAGACATTCTTATAGCTACTCAATATTATCAATAGTTTGTATGTAAATTAACATCTGAAGTTTTTTCATGGTTTTCTATCCCACAAAGTTGTTGAATCTTTGGTTGGCATAAATACTGCTGCAGAGACAGCTTTATCTTCTTTACCAAAAAGGCACAAAAGTTTGTCTTCTTTGATTACTAATAAAATTAATCCTACTTACTATTGCAAATAAGTCATCTTCAAAGCAGAAATGAAAACAGATAAACAATTCAGCAGTTGGTATTAAGCAAGAAAGAATGTTACCAGCTTTATTCTTGGCAAGTTTTTTGCTGCTGGCAGTTCCAGCCCCATAAGTCACTCCATCAATAATCACCGAGGCTCCAAAAGGCTCACTTGGGTTCTCTGGAAACGGAGGAGAAGAAAAAGGCTTTTCAAAACTCTCAATATAAAACACTCACCATGAACATGAAAGATCCCCATTATCAAGATTTATTTTCTTCTTCATTTCAATTTCAAGTTGAAGTCTTAGTAGAACATGCACAGCCTAAGTCAGGAACTACTAAATGACCTCTCCCACCACTGACACAGAATAAAATTAAACTCTATTTAAAAACACAAACCTACTAAAAGACACTTGTGCAGCATGTCACATAAAATCCTCACTAATCATGCAACAACGTTACTACAACTCTTTTAAGTAATTTCCCTCCTTTTAATACTATGAGTAACATCGGTCCACATTTATAACAAAGCCGTTCCCATCAACTGCATATGAATTTTTTGCAGTCTGCACCTAACTAATAATTTCTCCACAAATATTAATTACAATTTTAGCAATGACTTGAGACAGTGGCATGAAAGACAAGATCTATGCAGCCATTTTCAGTTTCAATATACACTTCTGAAGATCACTTTATACATGCAGTATTCTCTTAGGATGACCAGATTTAAATATGGACCACCATGACATAGCAATAATCATCATATACAATAACTTGAAAAGTTAAAGAATTTTAAAACCCTACCTAGCTAAAAAGCTAAAGTAATTTTTGCTTGTAGGAAGAAAAATGGAACAGAACAAAACCACAAAAATAACTTAAATTATTGCAGCTTTAGGGAGGGTATATCTGTGTCTATGCAAATCTTTCAAATTCTTAATTGCTTCCTTAACGAAGGCCTACACTAACCATACCATAATTACTCTTTAGAAGAGATTTGGGTGTAGTATTCTTCCCCCTCTCAGGATTCTGATGATTCACTGAAACAACGTGTGCCTTCTAATCACATCTTCTGAATATCAATGACATAAGAAAATTAAGCAAATATCAGTTGTGCATAATCAGCAAAACTGTCTATATTTCAGTGATGCTTCCTTCTAGATGCAAATGAGTTACTTAAGTTCATTTTCACTTTAGCATATTTTTCCAAGTGAAAACATACTGTAACCTTGAATATAACCTCTCCCGGCTCTCAAGAATCACTTTTAAGAGCGAAGGAAAATATTTGTTGCCTAGAATTTGGCTCACAGTGGACCTTCAAGACATCCCCTAAGAACAATGTCTATTTATTGTTTGGTATTTTTTAAGATAACAAAGTGTCAGAGTAGAAGTTCTTCAAGATAGCATTGTGGTCAGTTAAAAGCCTTAACAGACTTACCACATTCAAAGAAATTGTAAACAGGGCGAACCTTTAGGACACGTTGCATATATTCATGCAGTATGCAAACTTCAGACTTCCCATTGGGATTAATGACAAACTCTAAAAGAAAGTGAAGAAGGGGAAAAGAAAGATGACAACTGAGAAATCCTAGTCTCTAAACTGCATTGCATTTAACTTAGGCAGGATACTTATCCCTTGTCACCTGCGATTTGATCTTTTCTTTCTTTTTTGGAAGTAATTTTTTTTAATCAGACACAGATAATTAAGACTCAAAGCTTATTTTATCAGAAAAAGTATTGAGAAGTCAGAGAAATTTCTATCAAAACTGGAAGTGTACTGATCACAAGCTAAGCCAAAAATTTTATGTTCATGGTTTGCAGTCATATGGTCTCTAGACCTCTACACATAGCATTTTTGATACCTGAAATCAAATCAGAAATCAATCTTCTAATCTGTTCCTAAATATGTGTTTGTACCTCCCTGCTAATATTAAGCCTTCAATTCCACAAATCGGAAATGCTTCTGTTTTTTCAGGAAATCCTATTTACCCAGCTACAGGTCAGGTCACCGCCCTCCTGCCCTCAACATGCTCTTTGTATCTAAGTCTCAAACTGTTTCCTGCAACAGTACCATGCATCAAGAGCACAAGCCCTGCCTCAGTGGGCGTTATGGCAGGATGGGACAGAAGGCAGTCTACATCACTAAGATTTAGATACATAAAGTCCAAATAACTCCTTAAATTAAACGGTCACAACATGGCTCTAAACCTTCAACTCAGAATAAAATATATTAACTAAAAATTTTGCAATCAATCATCTTTCACAAGGTAACACCGTCATTTTCCTACATACACACATCATCTTAAAGCATGAAACATCTGTATTAGAAACAGCAAATATTTTGACGAGATAATTTTTTTAAGGTATCATCATATTGCATTTAAACGTGCTAGTGTGGCTACACAACCAGTAAAGGTATAAGTTAATGTCCCATAACGTCCGCTACTAACACCACAGGATACGTAACTGCACATGCAGTTCTCTACCAGTCAAAATGGTTTAAATCAGTACTTCTAATCATAGTTTTAACCTGGATCATGTTAGCACTTGTAATCAGTCCCTAATTTGGGACTGATTAGAACAGATTACAGAAGTAATAAGGCAGCAGCATTCAGTTACTGCGCAGGAGAGTTTTCAATGACAATCAATAGTTGTTAACTAGCTGAAGGTAGTAACCAGTTACCAGGACTGAGGAATTTTTTTTTTTTTTAAATACAAAATATGTTTTGATAGGGTTTTTTTTCCCTCCTTTACTATGTAACATGGTAGATCCAAGAGCACAGTGTTCCAGAAGAAGAAGAAAGTAGGTTTATTACAGGATTTTTTTTTCCAGTCAAGCTCAGAACTGTAATTAGTCTTTGATATGCATTGCCTGAACTCTGAGGAGATGGAACGAACCTTTCTTTGTGGGTGCGTCCTGCACAGACAGGGTAATGAGTTTCTGATTGGCAGGCAGAATAGGCCGCTCAGATTCTGCCTGCTTCCGCTTCATTTCACGATTGAACTGCCGTCTCTCAGCCCAGGTTCTGAACTTCTTTACGGTAACTTGTTCAAAGTCAAAACGCTTTTCAAGGTAGCGTCTAAAATCCTCCAGGTCTAAGAAACACAAGCATGTTACTCTCTCTTGTCGACCACTGAGAAAGCATTAAGTTCACCCTTTCCACTTCTGTGGACACGTTGTAAACATTTTTTTTAGCGTGCAGGCAAAAACAGTGGCTTGAGTTCACATATTCAAAGGTAAAGACACTATTTTACATTTACTGAACTAATCACAAATTTTCCCATTACTGTGTCAAACTCAAAACGTTTGTGCAAATTGGAAAAAAAAAATACTTATTCTGTCACTTCAAGATTTTACTGAACCCTAACCAGCACAATATCTAGCAAAACCCCGGTAACTGTACTACCTTAATGAGCCTCTGCTTCAGCACGTACCTTCTCATTACCTAGAGGTAACGTATACAGTGAAAAACAGTAGTATGTTATTAGCCTCAATTTCCTGAAGCCAAAACTATTGCTGCCTACTTATTAAAACAGTGCATCAGAAACACTGATAACGATGCTCCATAAACTCCATGACTATCTATTGGCTTCTGAACAGAATTCAGCACATTCGTTTTCACACAGCATATTAGAAAGCTGTCCCTTGAAGTACAGCTGCTTCTCCTTTACAGGATATTTCTGCAGATATAACCAGCAAAAATCAGAGTAGCATGCCAGGATGTAAATGAATCAAAGACAGCTGCTGACATTGCTTCCTTCCACAATGAATTCCAAATGCAAGTCACACTTATCACCCACTGAATATTCATTTTTCAATAATACAGTGAAGACCCTCTTTAAGGAGAGAGATAGACAGGTGAACTACATGTAGAAGGTAAGAGCTCACTATTTTTCAGTTTTCTCATACATATTGAAAATGTATTAGATCTTTTCAAATCTTTTGACATGATTTTAGGATTAAATGGGACACACATAACGATAAGAGTAAGTTTTACATTTGAACACCACGAAGACAAGCGGTTGCCTATGATCCATACCAGTATTCTGGACAGCAGTGATTTACGTAGTACTCTCAGATACAGAGCTGTGGCAAGAGGCTCATGAGATTTCTCTGCAAGTTTCTCTATAAGTTGGGCAGGGAAGTTTGGCATGACTTCTTTAGGCAGCTTTTCGTATAGAAGTTATCAGACTTATATAAATAAAATATTGAAGCATCACACCCCTTTGTATGAGTGCAATCATAGTTACATAACTTATTCTGCTATATTGTGTGAATAAGCAAATCCAGTTCAACTGGACCATTTACCTCAACTGGTTATACTGAAAACAAACATAATTAAGACAACACAGAGAAAAACCTATTTACTGGAAAATTCACACATACATACTTGATAACAGCAATCCATATGATATAGAATGATTTAATTGAATCTTAGATTGAGATAAAGTCTACAGCACTAAATCTCCCAAATGTTCACTTTTGTGTGGAAAACCTTTGCATAGAGACTCTCAGAAATCTTCAAACATCCCCAATATGTGTGTCCCTTCCTGTTATGATCAAAATTGATTTACAGAACTCAACCTGTTTTTCCAGATCTTTGCATAGGAGAAACCATACAGAAAGAAAACTTATCATTTGATCTTGAGCAAGACTTCATTTCTGGGTTGCTAACTGAATAAAGTGTAAGTTTTCCAAGTGCCATTACCTCAACTCTAGCCAAGAAAAGAGTCTGCTTTCCATCCTTACCTACAGATTCATCTTTACATACTTCAACTTTGGCCTTAACTTGTCCTAAGGCTCCTTGTGCTGCATCTCCCCCTGAGGGGTCTTTGTCATCTAAAGGCCCAGAATCAGCAGCAGTGGAATCTGGCTCTTCTGTTTGGCAGTCCAGTTCTGAAGATTTGTCTATGTGCTTTATGGGCGATACTTCCCCATTTGGGGTTATGTCATTGTTTTGTTCCCTTTCCTCGTTTTCCTTCATTTTTTTGTAATGCAAGCAGGGAATGCTACTAAGGGGAGGATCATGTTTCTGCAAATATAAAATAAAACACAAGGTTTCAGTACTTCTAGGTCACCAAAAGCAAAACCGAAAACACAAGAACAAAAGATCTGACCTGCTTCAACATGAAAGTTGTTTTTATTTAGTTTAAGCTCAGGCTCTCTGGTTAGCAATCTTAATTCTACTCGAGATTTTAGTGTGTCCATCATTATGGTATCTTGGCACTGTTCAACATCGATATTTGCTGATAGCACTGTTCAAGGGCGAATTTGTTGCTTTAAATCCCAACTACGTTCTGCAATACAGCCTTCGTGTATTCCACTGAACTTTCTTTATTGGATTTAACATCGTGGGCTTAACCCCCGAACCTATGCAGACTCCCTGGATTTATGAATATCGTGTTTACTTCTGTAAATGAGGACACCATAGCTCAGGCTTCTTTATGCCTACAAATGATTTACATTTCATGGTGGAATAAAACCAATATTTTACAGCTACATGCTAGAATAAAAAAAAGCACAAAGCAAGACCAACTCATTCATTTTAACTGCCCAAACTCACTGCAAAATGGGAAAAAGAAAAGAAAAGAAAAGAAAAGAAAAAATCTTATATTTTTAAAAGTAGAGATGCTTACTTTTCAAGCAGCTTAACTATAACACTGGAAACAAGCCTGCTAAAGGTAGAAAACCACTCAGTTGTTAACAGGAACATGTCTAATTTTTTGAATCTCAGTAAGTATTTAAATAATTGACAGTTCTCACCCTTATGCTTCCTGTTCCCAAGAAATAAGGTCTAGACCAGGTAACAACTCTAGATTCTCTGTGCAGATATACAGGAATGCCTGAGTTATGGAATGTCATGATCCATCCATCTGGCAAAGGTTCTGTAGGAGGGCGGCCACGACCTTTAAACAAAGAATGGCTTTAAACTTGTATAGACTGCTTAAAAGAACAGAAAAACAATCAAGTTTTAAATTTGTACTGCTTTCTGTCCCAGAGGATAAAATGATCCTGAAATAAGGCCAAAAAAGTTTTTAAAAACATTGCTTTGCTTTAATAAAAAGATATATGCTTCTAAGCCACACTAAGTCATGCCAAATCATGGATTCCATCATATATTCAACTGAAAAACAATAACAACATTGATTTTTATACAGACTGATTTGTTCATTTCACTAGTGGATTTCTCTGTTCGCCTTATTTTTCTCTATCTATTAACTTATATCAGCATAGGCACCAACTTAGGCAATGAAAAAAATCAGCCTTGGTTTTGAAACAATCGAGTCTTCCATTAAAAATTTTTGCACTTGACACTCAGAGGTGTATTAGAATTTAGAAATCTCTAGACCCATAGATCCAAATAGCCAACAATGAGTTAGGGAAGTGCTAGCATTAAGGCTTTCCAGTTCACATCTGACCAGAGTAGCTGTGTTTTGCACTTCACACACAAAACCAGCTCTATTTGATTAGATGTTCCTACTGTTACTTGCATAATCAGACTTACTTAGATTCACTTTCCCTATTACTATATCTTTCACTCTCTTTTCTTCTGTTCCTCCTCTCTCAACCTTACTTCTTATGCTTAACCCCTTCAATTTTCCACTTTTTTGTTCCAAAAACATGGCCTATTCCAAACCAGCAGACCACCAAGTATTCCTTGGATCCCTGCTATCTTCAGTGTCACCTTCTACCGTTCTCAAATACTCATGCATAAAAGGATGGGTGGTCATTAATTCCTACGTTTTATTTAACTGATGAAAAATTCTTGTAATTTCAGCCTCTAAATATTCTGTTTCAATGCAGTTTTTTCTCTGATGGCTGCAGAGAGAGCCCTTTACGTTAAGGATCATCAATTAGAAATAAAAACTTAAGGTTTTATTACATCTTTCAGCAAAGGCCCAACACAAACCAGAATCAAGTCTGCAAACCTTTATTCTTAAATATCTGGGCCATCAAAAAGGCTACTTTTTCCAGAAAGCATGACAGAAATTAGAGTATAATAAGCCAGTAGGACTCCCCCATAGCAAGAGAAATAATATTGCAGTAAAACGCTTATACTCGCATGCAAGGTAATACATGGTTTCACTCCCTTCTATGCCGCAAATCAGAGAATAGTCTCACTCCTTTTTATATTAGGAATCAGAGAACAGACTCATTTTAGCTAGGAACTTCCTGGCAGTCCTGTGTTAGTATAAGGTTTCGAATGGAAGAACTGCTTGATTTCTTATGTCAGAATATAACGAAGTTGTAATATAATCCTCTAGAGCAGGTTCAAAGTTTCATTCTAATTCAGGCTATTTTCAGCCTACATTCTTCTGGATTGGTTCTCATTTTCTAAGGCAGTTTTCCATCAGGAGATTGTCATATTTGCACAACAGACCTTGCATAAACGTAAGCCACTGACTCTCCTAGTAGTTCTTTCTACCTAGTGTTGCATGCACAAAAACGTCACATAAAACAATTTCGACAACAGAAGTTATACAACTGAAGCAGGAAAAAAGTAAGACCACAGACAGTCCAGATGCTTCACAGTATCAGAGAAAAAAAATACATCATCCTTGTTCACCTCCCAACTACTGCGGTAATATTCACAATTTTCCACAGATCTATGCATCAAAACACATTCTCATTACATACAAAAGATGAAGATAAAAAGCACTCCTAAACTGCAAATTCACAGTTTAGGAACATGAAAGCCACATCCTATGGTAGGAAGCCTTCAAACAGTAAAATCTGTAACATATCCACTATTTGACTAGAATTACTATCCCAAATTTTGTTTGCTCGTGTACGTTTGTTCTATATATACACAAGCCACACCAAAGAAATATACAGATGTTTAATAAACATTTACTTACTTTTAAGTACAGTTTTAATTTTGGTCATCATCGGCTGCACACTCGTTTCTCCATCAGATTGGTGATCACTTTCACCGCCATATTTCTCATTTTCTAGTCTTCGTGTTTTGGGTGCTCGAAGACCCTCTTCAAGGAGGGCATCCACATCATTATCAAAATCATCCTGAAAGAGACAACATCAGATACCATCCTCCTGGAGCTGCTAACCTCCCTTTCCCCTTGTAAAGAAAAAAATAAATATTATTTCTATGTACTTCCATTCAGAGAGAAACTAGAAATTTTCAATGATCTCAGTAAGAAGACTGAAAAATAAGAAAATAAGTTTTGAAAAGTGAGAACTGGTATTTTTCATGACAAAAATGAGCTGAGGTTTTAAGACTGTAAGAAGTCTTTTAAATGTTCTTTTTAAACAAGACTGCAGAAGCTGCCACGCAACTCAGTTGTTTTACCAAGACAGTTAACGAAAGCTTTCAACCAAAGAAAAATTCTGCACAGAATCACAGAAAATCAGTAATTCTGTCTTCAAAAGTTTTGCGTTTTTGACTCGAGTACTGGACATTTCTTGAAGAGACTGTCTTAAATGAAAGTCTTCATATACGTTTTTCTAACCACTTTTAGCCCTCACCCCACCAAAACTATGGATTTACTTACCTCATAAGAGTAATTCAAGGTTTCTTCATCCACTTTATCTCTTTGAACAATTGCTTTAGATGTGAACCCGCCTCCTTCTTCATCTATTTCCATCAAATTGTCGGTAAAATCTTCTAATTCATCCAGAACTGCATATTCCACTCTCTTTTCCTGATCAGTATCATTTTCATCATCCTTCTTGTCATCGTTTTCACCCCCTGTTCCTACAGCTTTACCATTACTACCAGCAAAAGGACAAACATGCAAATCCCCATTGACATTATTAATACCAAAATCTGTATCCGCCTTATAATCTTGCTCAACTCCAGTGTACAGAACTTTCCTATCTTTGCTTTTGCAGCTTTCTGTAAAGCTAACACTAATCTTTACATCTTTAAGTAACTTAAGATCTGGGGTGAACTTTCGAACTGAAGGTGCATGACGAGCAGTTCTTGGGCTTTGGTCACTATTGTTAGGGTCTATTATAAGACGACTTTTGTAGCAGGCAGATCCCTTTGTGAGAAGCTGTGTTCTGCAGATACTGTGCGTGTCCCCAGCAGGGGTATCTGACTGTCCATCACCACCGGAGCTAACGTCCATTACCTCTGCGTCACTGGACGTTTGCAGGGGAGGTGGTGGAGGCTGTTCATTAGGCGGCAGAGGTGGGGGACAAGTATGATTCTCCACATTCATTTCTCGTGCAGGTTCTTTAGGGAGGGGAGGTACATTTTCATATTTCTCCATATTTAAAACTGTAAAACTACTGTTTTAAAAAACGCTTTAAATAAACGTATATATCTATATTCCTAACATGCATAAGTCCATCAAGATAGGTTTATATCATGCTCTATTCAATATGCAACACTGATGATTCAGTTAAGCTGACTACATTGTTCTTTTCATTAATGTAGACAGCTTTCAGAATCACTGTCTCAATTATTGGAAATCACAATGCATTCAGCTTAAATAGCTGAAGACTAAGACTGCATCTTCATTGGACAAGCAGCTCTCCTTTTCTTCTTTCAACCTACAAGAAGAAAAGAGGTATAAGAATGTAATTCCCTCCCATACTCTTATTTCTACTTGAAATTTGTAGCTCTTTTTCCCCCCCCCTCCCCGATACTGACAACACAACCATATCTTGATACCGTTTTCAATGAGGCTGCAATTAGATTGCTATCTCCTGATCCGCATGCCAGCACAAGAATTTGCTAACACATAGTTGCCTGTATCATTTGTTGACTACTGCTGCTTGGTTAGCAGGCAAGGCATTAAGCATGGCTTTTGTAGGGGCCAGATTGAAAACTACAGGTATTTAAAACAATTGGGTATTAGAGCCACGCTTACCCAACACAACAGAAAGGATAACTAGCTTGAAGTTTAATGCAATTTGAAAAAACTGACAAGCTCTTAACAACAATGATCTCATAAGGCAGATGGCTTTTTGAAAGTTTAAGTTACTAGGCATTTTTGAAATTCCACTGGATGCTTTAATGGGAAATTTGGTACTTTACCAAAAATTTACAGGAAGAGAATCCCTAGATAACCAACTATTAGAAGCTTGATCTTATGTTATCTTGTTTGATCCATGCTATCACGGGGTCACGTATTTGTTACGTCTGACGGATTCAGGTACAGATGCACAGTGTTAAAACTCAAATTAATTCTGGAAGGCGTTTAGCAGGTAATGTTTTAGGTCATTTTAGGTGACAAACACTCAAATGCTCTGAGTAACTTTATGTCTTCGTTACATTAAGTGGGCTCTTTCCATAATTATGTGTATGACAGATTCTTAAATTATAATTTTGTCATCTATGCAGGACTGTAAGCACCTGGGAAAAGGAAGAGGACATTTAATTATAATTTCTTACCTGCTATTTTGGTTTCTCCAAGTCCCTCTGTGCCACCCCAAACTGGGTTTAAATCTTCCTACCAGCTGGAAATAAAGCAGTGTTACTCTGCCTAAGAAAGTCAGCTGGCTGAATTTGCTCTGTTCAAAGTACTTCCAGGTAGCAGAGAAAGTCTACCCTAACACGCTAGAAGAATAAGCTATGAGTCCCTAGTGTCACTTTATAGCATCTGCAGACAAAAGGGCAGAACTGGGTTGTCACTGGAGACTTAGAGAAGCCAAATAGAATTCTATATTGTATCTCTGTGCCAGCCCAGGCAGGACAAACTTCATTAGCAGTGTCCAAACACCAACTGGGGCAAGGCAGGAAGTTAGGAAGCAGCAGTTACAATGGAACCAGTAAAAATTTACAACATACAGAACCTACCTACCTGGAAGCTGGAAGAAAACAAAATATAAACAAGCTTAAAATCCTGTTTTAGTGATTCAGCCATTACAAACTTTGCTGGGGCAGCAGAATTGTTCACTTTTATGTCTTTTTTTTTTTTTTTCCTTCTACACACCCAATTGTAAAAAAAATTCAAAACACTGACCTTGAAATGCTGGGGCAGCAGAATTGTTCACTTTTATGTCTTTTTTTTTTTTTTTTCCTTCTACACACCCAATTGTAAGACACATTCAAGACACTGAGCTTGACATGCACTGCACGTCTTATTCTTACTAAGGAATATGACTCCGTTTTGATAAAAGCTCTAAAACAATCCCATCTTCCTTGTTGTGAATACATTAGAAGATATTACCACACAGAATGAAAAGCAGCTCATCCAACACTAAGACAAGCAATTCTACGTATTTAAATTCATCCCATCCCAAAGGGTGGTGATAATATGATCACCACAGAAGCGATCAACTCCTTAGTCTTTCAACAGGTTCCGAAACATCTCATGTTACACAGAACGCCTCTAGAAATATGTTTATATATTACATCCTTTCCTCTTCGCATCTTCAGATAGGAAACAGACTGAATGATAAGCTACTAGTTTCTTCATTATTAATTCTGAAAAAAAAGTAAGAGTCAAAGGCCACAGTATAAATTCAGTAACTACTGGAAATTAAATGCCTAAGTAATCTTATTCTTCCATCTTAGAGCCTTTTGAAGGCTGTTGAAAACAACAAATGGAAGCAATTTACACAGTCAGGAAATCCTAAAGCTGGGGTTCTAGAATTCGAGAGACAGCTAACTTCACATAAGATCAAGGAGCTACGTGGTCCCATTAGAAAGACAGTTTATGACAAGTTGTAAGACATGGTAAAGAACGGGGTTTCCACATCCCTGATCATGTCCTGCTCTAACTCCAAAGAGTGTTTTAGCAACACTAATATCAGAACGTAAGAAATGAATCTTCACCTGCCAAGATCCGGCAGCCCTCTGATGTTACACCTCTGCTCTTTGCAGAAAAGATGTCTTGTTACCACATTCAAGCACTATTAACTATACAGTTCTTGTCATCTTTCCCTTCCTGTCAGGCTTGAATAGTACATCAAATCACTGCCTGGGATTGTCTACTACTCAGTACACAAACTGTTACACAAACAAGCCCTAAACAAAGATGGGTTTAAACTAGTTTTCTCATTTCTTGCCAGAAACCTACCATATCATCCCTAGGGTAGAGAAACAAGAGTTTAGTAGCTCTAAATCACAGGGTGCTGTAATACCTTCCTATAAGCTACAAAAAGGAAATCCTACTTTCTTGACAACTGGTGCCTACAATATGCCCTTTATACCAGAGGCTGAAAAAAGCCAACAAGGATTTTCCCTTAGATATCAAGTACTACAGGAAAGAGAGAAATAACAGAAACCTAAAAGGCTGAGCTAGGCCTCTAGGTTAAAAACAATCCAACAGATCTCAGATGAAGATAACCAAACAACTACATACAAAAAACCTACGCGTATTAGGTTACGTAATATAAAAATATAACATAAGTTTGCCTGTCTATTGTAATCTTTAATTAACTTGCCCTGAAATAACAGATCTTATTCTTTAAGGCCCTAACAAGTTCCATCAAGAGTTTCCTTCAAGACTCAGAAAGCTGGCTGCCAAGCCTGCCTCTCATACTAGCCAACTGTATGCATAAAAAGGATTCAAACACCTTTCTAAAAGCATCATAGCAAAGCCAGGGGTAACCTTAAAAAGATATGGAACACTTCTGACAGCTACAACAGCCAGTTGTACAAACACTGAAGGAACTCCGGATTAACTGGAGAAAATATGAAGGCACAGCTGATATCCTGCAGATACCACCAGTACACAGAAAGTCCACATTTTAGCACATCATTTGAAAAGGTCTCATATCACAAAGTAAAAGTAAACTCAAAGAATTAGATACACAGCGGACATCCAAACGTAATGTAGCAAATGGAGTAGATCCCCAATAAAAGCAGTATACTGAAGCTCCTCCTCTTGGCTCAGTTATCTTATAAATCTACATTTTTGGAAGAGAGAAAGAAAAGCAAAATAGCTTTTTCTCTGTTTAGCAAGTACCAATGCCTATTCTCCCCGTCTAAACAGATGGATCGAGAAAAAAAAAGTGCACAGACAAAAGGGTATCTCTTTTGATGAAAACACAAATACAGAATCTTAAAATTTGTAACCAGCACTGCCCAGGCTCAAAGAGGAGCTCTCTTCACATAATAGCATTTCAGTAGTCTTTGAAGTGAGGTCAATGCAGAACAGATTTTCAACATGACTACCTGTAGCTGCAATCAGCAACAAGGAACAACATATCATGGATTCTGTCTTCTGAAAACAGTTTCAAAAAAAAAAAAAAATCTAGCTTCTTGCCAGAAACTGTTAACTTCACAGTCAGTGGACCCCAAAAGAAAGAGTAGCTCTGAGCAAACTCTCCTTATTTTTGCTATCCAAATATAAAGTCCTCTCTCTCATCCTCTGGCTCCAAAGGCTAATTCTGCAGAGCAGAAGTTATGATGCACTGATCTTGCTTAAAAATCCACTCAATCCTGATCCCTGTCAAAGCAATCCCGCACTCACAGGGGGGACTTCTTCAAAGTCCTAAGAATAAATTTGCTCTTATTAAGTATGAAGTGTTAGAATAAAACCCAACTAAACAAAAACCAAAACAATAAGGAGACTGAATCCTTTCTTTCCATAAAAACAGAACAGGAAGTTCCAAACAAACATGTTCCATAAGTTGCTACTACATACAAAAGCTTATTTCTCTCCATATTAATCAGCATTAGCACAGAAAGACTGTGAAGAAAGCAACCATTTTGTGGAAGCCATCAAGGCAGTTTCAGAAAAGCCAGTCAGAGGCCCAATCATAACTTTATCTAGAGCAAACGTAGACAAGGCTAAAGAATTCTTGTTCATAAGGCTGCATCCAGCATAGTTACGTCTCATTTCTGAAGCACCAGAGTACGCGATGTGGGAAAGGTACCTCTGTAAATGGCAAAGCAATTGCTGCACTTACAGCTTGACCAATTTTCTGATAGGGCTTAGATGGTTTCAATTAACAGCGTGAAACAGGAAACAGTTTTAGGGGAAAAAATGCAATTCAGAGGCTAGAAAGGAAAAAAAACGCGTGCTTCCATTCACCTAACAACTGGCTTCTTACTTATGAAGAAAAACAACAGACATAACGGACTAAATTCCCCTCTCGCTCTCCCAAAAAGCAAAGTAATCCTAGCAATCAAAAAAACTACACGGAGAACTAGCGAGCTAATTTTCACCCAGAATTAAAGAATGCTTAAGTTACCTAAACAGAAGGGAGAAGAGAAATATTCATGAAAGAAAAGTTAAAGAACTAACTCTAAGGTCTCTACCTAATGGAGTAATGAGAATGAATGAGCTCACTCAGCAAGCTCTCAATCCCACCTTCAGAAGGAAAGCATTAACTGTCTCTTAGCTGATTTTAGGAAGTCCACCCTCTCAGCAGCAAAAAGATGCTGCAAATACACCTAGTGTCAATGGAACGGCCATTGTATCGAAAACTAGGTGTAGAAATATAGCTGGCAGATTCAGGCTCTCTCTTCATTCAGAAAGGAAGCATAATCAAATGCGAGTAACATCCTTCCTCTCCTACCCATCACGAATTAAAAAAAAAAAAAAAAAGGAAAGGAGTTGAAGAAGAATTAGAAGAATTCCCTTTTTTCCTTGAATCTCCACTAAAATAAGACTTCCCTTTGGAAGTGTCCGAAAAGGATTACTAAAGAGAAGACAACTGAGAATCTACTGTGAAAGAGTCATTACTCTGAAATTGTATCAAAAGAAAACCCTCTTTCATTAATCCACGCTAAGGACAAAGAGGTGCAAAGGAAAGACCTTTATTTTTCCAGTGAAAAATAAGAAAGTTTAGGAACCTAAACCTTTCAGAGACTGAATTAGGCAATTTAGAAAAAAACATACTATACTTCGCCATGAATAAAAAGAGCACGTGAAGAAGAATCCCGAGGGCTAGGAAGACACGCAACTTTCTCTTCACCACCCCAATCTGCAAGAAGGACCAAAAAAAGGGAACGGGTGTGCACACACGTGGTGGGGACGGCGGCTGCGTTTTCTTCACAACTTCGCATGGGAGGATAGATGAGAGTCTTCACCCCTGCGGGGCCCCCCCGCCCTGCGCGCAGAGAGGTGCACAGGAGAAACCCTTCCACCCCCGCCGCCCTGCACCCTAACACGAGATGGTAGAAAGCCTGGCCAGGTTAACACTCCCCACCAGCGACAGGAGAGATGTGCGGGGAGGACAGAGAGACATGGCGCTTCCTTCCCTCCCACCAGCCTGAACGCAGCTCCAGGGAGGCGGCAGAGAAAGAAAGAGCGCGAGGGAAGCGCCGGCCGCCAGGGAAGGGGCGGGGGAGGAGCGGCGGGCGGGCAGCCCGCCGGCAGAGCC